TATTGTTTTGTGTTTCCCTATTGCAGTTTTTATTTTAATCTGTACTTCTGCATTGCTATTCCTGTAACTGTCCTACTTGCGAACATTGACAAGTACAAGTTTCAATATTGTAAATTATAATAAAAACTGAGTTTAAAAAAAACTCTGGTTTTTCACTTAATACGCTTAAATTCTAATTTAAGCAATAAAAAGCTTTTCAGAAACATTTACATACACAGAGAGCTGCATCACGTCTCTATTTGCACAAAATATTACATCACTTAAATTAAACTCCTTAATTATCAAACACTTAAATGACTGAATGGTAAACAGCTCTTTGAGAAGTGATGTTGTGATATTTCAATAGCCTTTAGAAATAATGTAACATCACTGGCTTCCTCGGTCCATTACAGCGACATTATTTAAGGTCATTTACGACCTCGGACTCATAGGGGAACCCTCGGTTCTAGTCTGCCTGGAGAAATCACTCACTTTAGACTACGTGGTGTACATTTTGTACTGTGATCTCCAGCAGATTTTCTGTGCAGACTGTGATCAGATTACTTGCTGCTGCTGATGATTCGAAAGTTTGCTGTAGATTTAGACTTCTATATTCTACAGTATATAAAAAGCTGTTACATGAGCGCTGAGGGCTGCTTCAAAACATTGGTCAGTGGTCAAACACAGCCAGCTGAAATTCTGATTTTACAGCGGATCTTGTGGGCACTTGTGGGAAGTTGTTTTGCTAGAGCAAACAGAAAAACTCTCAAATGACACGACATTCAGGTGGGAAGGAGGAAGGACTCACATGATCCAGCCAATCCATCCATCCAATAAAAAGACATCTGACAATCTGTTTGAAAGATTTGGGTTATGAGAACCCAATAGACAACTCACTGGGTAAGTCAGATCTTTGTTTTTCTTGGTTTTTTGTCTGTCCTGCATGTAGGTTTAGGCAAAAATAAATAAATGAACAAAACACATAAAAAAATACAAGTTTCCTGTTTCCAATAAGAAAATCCAGCAGAGACAAGAAATGAACTTCTTAACTCTTAATTGAACTTAACAGAGTTCTTTCACTGAAACCGTTTAACTCTTCTGTTTATTATTATTGTTGTTGTTATTGTCATTGTTATTATTATTATTATTATTATTATTATTGTTGTTGTTGTTATTGTTATTATTATTGTTGTTGTTGTTGTTGTTGTTGTTGTTGTTGTTGTTGTTGTTATTGTTATTATTATTATTGTTGTTGTTGTTGTTTTTGTTATTATTGTTGTTGTTATTGTCATTGTTATTATTATTATTATTATTATTATTATTGTTGTTGTTGTTGTTGTTTTTATTTTATTTTTATTATTATTATTATTATTGTTTTTTTTTGTTATTATTGTTGTTGTTGTTATTGTCATTGTTATTATTATTATTGTTATTATTGTTGTTGTTGTTGTTAATCATATATTTTGTTAAATTGCTGTGTGGTAGAGAGTGCCGCGACGGACCGAGTTCGATGGCGTTCCCTTGTCACCCGATGTGCCAATCGGCACGGGAGGATCCAAGTCTAAGTAAGAGAGTGTAGAGATTACTTTGTGTGATGATGAGGAAAATCTGGACCCAAAAGCAGATTTCTGAGGGAATTGTTCCAGATGGCTGATTTTGCTTCCCATCTACAAACTGTCCCACTGCCATTGAATCCTCTATTTTATTTCTCTGCAGATTTCCATGAGCCAAGTGAAATACCCAACTCTGTGAATCGCTCTAAGGACTTGCCGTCACTGAGAACAACATTAAAGAATGATTTAACACAAGCAGCAAGTTCACCTGACATGAAGCCACAAAGCTGCTTTGAAGAGTTTACACCTAGCATCACTGCTGATGAGTCTGATGATGAAACCTACCGGTTCCAGTGCTCCAGTGCAGGCCTGTACCAGTGCAGTGTGACCGGCCTGGTGTTTGTCATGAAGGCAGAAGGAGACGTGGTTTACAGGACTGTCCCTTGGAACAGGAGGCTGCTGGCCCAACACCACAAGAAGCCTGCAGGACCCCTGTTTGACATCAAATGTCAGCAGCAGTCTGTGTGTCAGCTTTGTCTCCCACACTGTGAGCTCATCTCCACAGGTGGAGGTCAGTTCTTGCAGGTCGCTCATGTGAATAAGCTTGAAGATATCGAGTTTATCACCCATCTGCAGATAACAGAAACTCACGTTGTTATAAACATCACAGGGTTTTTTGGTTATGGTATTGTCAGAGATGACAACTCTCCCCCTGGCCCAATCCAAGCTTTGATTCTCCTCTTCTACAAACCCCCAGTTGATCCTCATCCCAGGTCTGTCCTCAGTGTGTTGTTGGTGCCGATGACTGTAGTGATTCGTCATGTTAAGCACACCAGGAGTGAATTAATTGGTGAAGAGATGTACATAGACATACCTTCGAGATGTAGTCTATTTCCAAAGCAGGTTTACACTCTGTCCACTGCTCCTGATGATGACCTGATTGTAGTTCAACCAAATGAAGCAGAGTTTCATGGAGAGTATTTTAACAGCTCAGTTCCATCATTCCAGGTGATTTTCAACAGAGTCATTACAGATGTTAACCTGAGTCTGACACACCAGAGCAGCTTCAGCTGTGTCTGGAAAAGTGAGGTTTGTCTTTTGCCCAACAGAGTGAGAACATTGAGTCTCCCTCCAAATGAGAAGCTGTTAAATGTACGGAGCTCCATTATTAAAGGGATATCAGGACCTGTTCTCAGCAGTCTGATGGACAAACTGCTGGAGAAAAAAGTGATAACTGATGCTGAGAGGGAGGAAGCAGACGTAATACAAAACAGAAGTGAAAGAGCTCGTTTTGTTATCGACACTGTGAGGAACAAAGGTGAACGTGCTACTTCACAGATGATTGAGTCTCTGTGTGAACTTGACTCCTTCTTCTGTGAGTACGTTGGTCTGATTTGAGGCATCTGGTAAATTTTGCTGAATTTATCTTCAGGCTTCAGTTACAAACCTCAACATCGTAGTTTGATCGAAATAGGACTGCTCCAGCTCTTTTTGATCTTTAAGCAAAGTTGAATCCAGCCTTTTTCTCTAGACTGAAACTGGCTATTAATATTAATGTTACATGGCTGATAGCAACAATTAACATATAATAATAATAATATCTTTAGTTTAAACTGAGATTTCCTTTGACTGGATGTAGTGAGTAAAAAAAGTGCAAACACGAACCACATTTTATCTTCATAATTTGAAACAGCTTTTAACAGAATTGTTAATGTGAAATATAAGAGTGTATAAAAAAATTCAAACAGTTAATCCATTATTTTAGTTTTTTTAACTCCCAAAATTAAAAGTAAATGTCTGCACTTTAACCTCATATTAAACACATATTTGCAACTTTAATGTGTTTTAGCTAAAAAAAATAAACTAAAATTGTTATTGTGCAGTAATTTCCAGATGTATCTGTATATATTTGATCCATCTCTGTTGTGTATTTGTGGATTTTTTTTATGAGGTTAAAACAAGCAGCAGGAATTTGATCTTGTTGGCCCCAAATGATCTGATGTGATTGCTTATTGTTGTCAAGTCTTAAAATATTTTGTATTTGCTGAAGATTTGTCCACTTTATGATTCAGTGTTCACGGTAAATTTGACTTGAATCCAACTTTTTTTGAGTACTAAATGCTATGTATTGTCTATCTGAATCAATCGCCCTGTAATTAAAAAGAAAGAATGAAAATAAATTACTTGTGCATGTAATGAAGTTTGTTTTGAGTTTCCTCACAATGACACTGGAGGCCTTCACACGCTCGACCCATGTGAACATTTCAGGTGTTAAAAATGTAACGTGACGGTTCGTTATGTGGCTCTGAACTATTAGAAACAGCAAGATGAAGATGGATAACTTTCTTAGCAGCACCTTTAATCTCCACACAACAAAAACAACACTTCCTGTGTGCAGCCCCCATGAGACTTCGCTAGCCAATCAGAAGCCAGGAAATCCTAGACTCAGGTAACTGCAGCATTCAGTACGTACTTATTACTGCTTTGAAAGTGCATGTGTAAACATTCAAATATGTAAATATCAAAACATGTAACCATCAAATGTAAAAATAAAATGGTTACATAACTAGCTCTGTAATCCTCATAAACACTCCATTGTTTATTAAATGACATATAAATTTACTTTCAAACTTTACAAAATTATTTGTCTGTTCTTCATGCAGCTGTTTACACCAACTGCCTGACTTCACATGATGAATTTGCAGAATTTATTTTTTTGGACCAAGCTCAATTTTCCCAGCATAACAGATCTCATCAATCAGATCACTGCACAAGTGAATCAAAATGTGCATCAACACTGAACATACAATGAGAAGAAACAGTCTCTGAAATGATTTCTCTGCCTCGTTAGATGTGGTCTCAACTTTGCCAAGAAGACTTCAAAGTGTCCCATTAAGATCCTGAAAGCAGTTTTGATTCAGCTTCAACTCCTAAATAAAACTATGAACTTCTCCCACCTGCTGCCTTCTACTGGTTATCAGATGAACGCTCAAATAACAGACACTCCAAATTGCCAAAATAACATAATACAGAAAAGAAGAAAACCAATATAGAACAAGAACATAATCCCTTCACAAAACCTGAATGAAATCCATCCATCCATTTTCTGGGGTCGCGGGGGCAGCAGCCTAAGCA